CTGGAACTAACCATAGCTTATAAAAAAATTCATGAATATATGCTTTTTTTTCATCGAATTAACGTTATCCCCCCCCCTTAACAAAGTTATAATAAACAAGTAGTGTTACGTGATGTTTCGAAATTGGCGTTGATATATTGGCGCGCATTTCCAAGATCACGTGATTTCCGGTTTCACAACATCATGCCGGGCATTGGCCCATCTCTCCATATAGGATCTCTACTCTACTCGTCTTTCTACCCCCACCACTACCATCAGCGGTCCATTCTATATGTCGATGCGCCTGGCTGATAGGTTGCTGCTTGTGCATTGTGCTTTTTGTTTCCTGTTTCTTGATGTTTGTATCTTGTCTTCTTGATCAAAAAGGCAAGAGACAAACAGCAAGAAACAGGAAACAAAAAGCACATTGTAGAATTAGCTTAAGATATCGGCACTTCGATACTGGGGTATCGATACTTTCGAGCCCGATATTGCAAAGGATCGATAGTTTGATCTGTGATATGGATCGATTCGAGGTATCGATATAATTGAAAGTATCGTGCATTCCTACCGCCGACCAGGACCTATTCTTAAAAAGGTTATGAATTAAATTTAGGCACGAATTCTTGCATTAGCTCTTCGAGCTCGGTCTTTGAATCCAGAATGGATTGAGGAGCTCGATTAGCTTTAGAAATGTTAATATCGAACACAGATGAGATGACATGTAGTAGAAAGATATGAGTTGCCGAACGATTTCTGAGATGAAAAAGCAAACGGATACCCCCGATTTGCAATGCCGAACGCACCTCGTATAACCAGCAGCATCAATCGACAAACGTCGCAAAATGCGATTCTGTACCACGGTTAACGACAAACATTTGTCGTCCATGAACGATAAGTATCGTTATTCTTAATGAGACCCCCGTACGTGACGATAACGTTATATCGACAACTTGTACAACGATTACTTACAAAATTTCAAGAAAATTTTGTGAAGTAATATGTTATAAATTACGTCATAACCTCGCAGAGGAACGAGTGATCGGCTAAGTGTGCTAAGTCACGTTCAGCGAAAATAAAAGATAATCAGTATCAAAAAGCTGCAACGGTAAGTTTATTATAAATATTTATGTATATTCTGTAATTTTCGAATATAATTTAATGTCTTTTTCTACTTTTTTTATAGCATTGTAAAACTATGCCAAATGAATTTAATCTTACATTATGCTATAATATATATACTTTTATATATATTTATATACATATATATATATACTCTTTTAATTTCTACTTCTTCTTACTTGTATAATGAACTCATTAAACGTGATCCTGTTCTAATCTTAATATTGTTTATAATTTTTTACATTAAGTGTGTATTATCTTTTATAGATTTTAATTGCTTTAAGGTTTTTTGCGGTTAACTGCTATCAGGGTTCAATAGCAAAGCAATAGGATATTGCAACAAGTCAACCATCTGTTAGCCGTTGCATGAGAGCAGTAAGCAACGCTATTAATGACTTTCTTCGAAGATGGGTTCAATTCCCCATGACCAATGAAGAACGTTGTATTGCACAAGAAAAATTTTGAACTGTATTGCAATCATTTATTGGGACTATTGAAGCAATAGACTGCACCCACATAAATATTATAGCCCCAAAAGAACATGAAGAAGCATATGTCGATCATTAAGGTGATCAATCAATGTGCAAGCAGTACGTATTATGTTACATAAAATTACTTCTCTTGCTAGCTGCTGATTTGGAGATTCTCAATTTTGTATCTTAAAAATTTTTTTATTACAATATTTTTAGATTTGTTTATCCTGAATTAAAAATTTTTAATATAAACGATATCCAGGAGCACATCACGACACATATATTTAGTCAAATTCTCCAATACGTTACATTATGGAAAGGCGTTTTAGAAACGGTGAACGTAATACATGGTTAATTAGTAAGTTATAGTTTATTTACTATACTCTATTTCCAAACTTATTTACTATAAGTACTAAGTAAGTAATAAATTATTTTTATAGGTGATAATTTATTTTATAATTTACAGTTATTAAAAGTTTTCTCAGCAATAGTCACATGGCAATAGTTAACGATTAAAAAAATAATAAGAAGAATGGGCAAGTGGGGAAAGTATAAACGTCATTTTAAAAAAGAATGGGAAAAAGAGAAGATATTTCGAGGTAAGTTAAATGATATCAGCTAACTTCAATGACAAATAAATTTTTAAAGACAAATATTTCGAGTATTAGTCAAGGAATGGAAGTAACTCGTTATTTGTAACGAAATTACAGTTACAAGTTACTTTTTTAGTAACTTTACTAGTAACTGCTTTACTTTCTTTTTTTGGTAACTGTAACGTAGTTACATTTTTTTGGATAACGGTAACGAAATTTATAGTTACTTTTATCGTCACTTTGCATACGAGTGGACACGTTATTCCGTTATATAACAATTTTATATTATTAATTATACAGCTATAAATGTGGTTGTAGGACATTGAGAGTTTTCATTTAATACAGGTGTACAAGCTACATTTAGTTTAACTTAATCTAAACATCGTGTACACATTTTATTCTAATTGAGCAGTGTACAAAGCTTTACTCTGTACATTTCTATATACATTTATGTTGAGCAATTGACAAACATCCCTTTTTGTAAAACTTTTGTTATATATTTTAATTATAGTTATAATTTTCTTTCTATCAAAATATTTGATTTACAGCTAAAAGTATAGATTAAGTAAAAATATAGCTGTATTATAATAAAGAAATTATGTGTATTTCTTAATTCTCCTTTTAACTTCTAACTTATATTGTGATTCAGATAGTCCTATACAATCCTATATAATCTTCTAATTTTCTGCAAAGTATAAAAAAATTCCTATACATAGTGTCAGTGTTATATTATGCTATATATATATGTATATATTGCTGTATATATATATATTGCTTTTATTAACATTTAAACAAAAAACACTGCAAAAGTACATTTTCAGATTGATTTTTAAAAAGTAATCGAAAAGAAATGAAAAATTATCTTTCGAGTAACGGTAACTATAACGAGAGAGAGAGAGAGTGAGAGAGAGAGAGAGAGAGAGAGAGAGAGAGAGAGAGAGAGTTACTTTTAAAAAACGATAACTAGTAACGGTAACTCGTTATTTTTTTTACTCGGTAACGAGTAACTGTAATTGTTACTTTTAAAAAGTAACTTTCCATTCCCTGGTATTAGTTAATTAACTTTATATAGATGCATTATTACGTGTTTTTTAAAATTATCAAACTATGCTGAATGAGATCGCTTGAGAAAGTTACTTTATTTTAATGAAGATTGGCTAACAGAAAATCCAAATTGGGAAATAAATAATCAAGGAAACGTGGCGAGATGTTCTACATGTGCTGTGTAAATCTTCAAACTCATCATGATGGTTTGGTGAAACATGCAAATTAAAAAATGTATAGATCTAAAATGCAAAGTGTAAACAGAAATATTCAAAAAAGTATTGAGAATTTAAGTAAATATTAGCTTATAAACTACAGATTACAAGTTGTATTATAATAGAAATATAATATATATATATATATATATTTCCATTTGTGTTATTATAAAATTATTTTTGAGATATAAGATATATATTGTTTTATAATATTATTTAGACAGGCATTGAGGTTGTTAATTTCGAAGCAAAATCAGTAAGTCTACAACTTACTATGTATATTGCAACGTATCCTTCCATTAAAAGTATTGACCATCTCAGTGAACTTTTAAAAATACTGGGAAAAAGAAACAAACTGGAAAAACTTTAGATTCATCGAACCAAGTACTCAAAGTTAATAGCAAATGTACTGGCGCCAACTATATTGTCAGATTTGATCCAATATGTGAAAGAAATTAGGATATATTCACTAATTGTAGATGAGTCAACTGAAATTGCTGTAAATAAATTTATGGGTATTTGTATAAGGTAGGTTATAATATATCGTTTATTTCTATATATACTCATGACTTAAAAATACCGTGTTATGAAACATGTTTCTTTTTCATTTGAATACACAGATAATATTTACATGACAGTATTACTTGGTTACATATTAACTTCTATTCAGTTTTTGATTTTTCCAAATGAAAAAAATAACTATTTCTTTAACTTTCTTAGGTATTATAGCAAGAAATATAAGACAGTGATGATCGACTTTCTCGGCTTTATCGAATTAAAAAAAACAACGGCTATTGACTTGAAAGATGCTCTGGTACAATTTTATCCCAAATCAATCTTGATATTAATGAAATGATAGGATTAGGCACAGATGGGGCAAATGCAATGTATGGATCAAATCATTCCTTATTTTGAAAGAGATGGTAATTTATCATTGGAAGTGAATCTAGTTTATGTATACAATGAAGCATCCTATACAGCACAGAAATATTGCAGCAATATTGCAGCAACGGTAAAATGTCCGCCTCTAGAAATATTGCGATGCAATATTGCAGCAACCCAGATAACAAAATGCGCGCACAATGTTCTCGCAGTGCATTCACGCGTGCAAGATTATCCGCACGCGTGAGTGTCATGCGCATGACAGATATGTCCTCAATTGAATGCCATATTGCACAAAGCTGGCTGAAAAAATGCGTTTGTTACTTTCAAATTATTATTTAAATAAAAGAACTTTGTGAAGAATATCACTACGTCGACTTGCCAACAGAGGTCTATAGTTAATCGTGTCAATTCTCGCAAGTGCCGAATTACATGATTATTTGTTTATATAGAACTTCTTTCTAACATCTCTCCAAGGCGTCTAAGGTAGGCTCCCACTACATTACCTTACTGATGAGTCTAGTAGTGGAAGCCGGGACGAAACGCCAACTCGTGATATTCTTCACAATTCTTATTTTTCATAGATTTAAATTCATTTCTACTTTAAATATTATAATTTAATAATTTAATATGTCTTTCAACATATTATTAAGATCCAATTTTATATGCTATAAGCTTCAAAAATTGTGATATTACTACGGTAGTTGATTAGATTTGCGTTTTAAGTTCGACGAACGTTCGGCGCGCAATGGGGTGGAACTACTCACGTAGTATATAATATTCACACTTTAATATATCTTATATATGATCGCACTAACAACAGCTGAAATAGCTCTCATTAGCCTGATTATTCTTGTTATTTGACATAAGTTATATTTGTAGAATTGGAACATCTCATCAATGTGATGTGACATATTTGACAAGGATGAACTATTATATTGAATTGAAGAATTAATGAATATTTGTATTAGCTGATGAAGGTTCAACATGAACCGAAACGTTCTAAATTTTGAATAAATTGATATTCTTTCAATTTTTTACTGGATTTGCGTAATAACAACTACGCCGTACTCTCATTTGTCTTTTGAGAACTGAATTTTTGGAATTTCAAGAGTCCAGAAGTATACTCTAATATTTTTTAAAACTAAATTAAAAGTTAAAATTAATGCGGGTAAGAAACGGGAATCAATTTTTAACTTAATGTTTTAACTAGTTACTACCCAACCCTGGCTTACACACGCACGCACGCACACACAAACACACATATAATAAATTTATTTTATAGGGGCAGTGCAAAAAACACAGTTCAATAGCATTGAGTGATATTGAAACAGTTATAAAAGCATGGCTTGTAAAAGCAAAGTTTAGAAATGCCAAAAAGGCAAAAGAAAGTAACAAGAAGCAACAAGAAGAGGCAACAAACACATAATAAGCATAACTTATGGAAACATACTTTTTTATTAGAAAAATATTCTTTGTTATCTGAAGTATATGTTGCAATATGTTATAATACTTTATAATCCTACATCTTTATATTTTGATGTATTCAGACGCGAGTCTACTTTTATTTATCTACAGATTTTTTAATTGATTTTCTGTCTATTGGCATTTTTCCTCACAAAAAAGTGATTTAATTTTGTTATCCTCATCTCAGTCTTTGATTTTTAAATAAGATTAACAATTTAAGTTCGAACGTTTAATTCTTATATAAGTATAAATGTCTTGATTATCTCTTAATTACCTTATCTTCATTCATTATCTAGATTAATAACAAATATTAAAAGTTGTAAGTGCAACATTATAATACAGAAATATATCTATATTAGAAAAGTAATATTTTATTATAAGTGCAGAATTACATAAGTGCAATATTTTATTGTATACTTATATATTTATACATATATAATATTGTATATTATACATATATATAATATATATTAATTGTAACTTAGTAAATATCACAAATGTATTTCTATTATATATATAATGTATACATATAATAAAATATTTTAATGTCCTTATTCTTATTTCTTTTCTATTAAAATATGTATATATATATTTGTATATATAAATATATCTACTAGTTTTAATAATTAATTTACAGACCTATTTTATAACTCTTAATGACTGTACAATATCATTACATTATCGTTGTGCTGTTTTACTATGTACAAAAACCTGCGCAATGATAATGTAACGATAGTAATACAGCTGTTAAGAACTATTGAACAGACTCCTTAGTTTTAGACAGAATATTTTATAAATATTTTCTTTAATATTTTGAACTAAATACCTTCTCTGAATATTCTTAGAATATGAAAAAGGATATTTATTCCGACCTATCTGGAATATTTAAATTGGTCTTATTTTGACATTCTGTGTATGTTTATAGAATATTTTTTAATACATTGTAAGAATATTTTAATATTCTCGACGAATGTTTATAGAATATTTATTGAAAGTGTTTGTGTTATCTGGGGCTCGTCTTTCTAATGTAATTATTGAACAGTAAACATGGCAGGATATTTTTATAGCATATGCAAGATAGAAAACTTTAATGCTACAAAATTAGTATTCAATTCTCTACAAGGTAACTGTGAAATGGATGCAGTACTCATTTTCCAAACTCCTACAATTACTAATGAAGTTAATATTATACTACTAATTTAATTCTTACTGACGAAAAATTGAAAAATGTTGCTTGTAATTTTGCATCAAAATTAATTGGCTTAGGCATGACTATGAAAATGCTTTAAACTCTAATCAATGCAAGTACAGAATTAATTACGGTAATTGCTGACAGTGTAAATAGTAAATACTGTTCTTCAAAATGATCAAGTAAATTATTTACAAAATCATCTAAAAGAATTAAGAAACAGGGCTACGAGCCATAAATTCGTTAAAATATTAACTAACGGTAAATAAAAACTGTCATTTGTATTAAAATATAAAGTTTAATATAAAATTAGAAACAAAAATTAAAAACAAACGTTTCAACTTCTGTTAGGTCATTATCAATGTTAAATAAGTCGCATGCTATTAACAATGTAAGAAATTATGACATAATAATATAAAAAACACACAATAATTATATAGAAAAATGTAAACAAATATATAAAAAATGGATGTGAATTCTCTCTCGCATAATCGAAGTTAAATTCATTTCGGATAATCAGCAGGAAAACCAAAAAACGATGTAATTCGTCTGATTATAAATGTAATTTGTAAAATCTTGTGGCAATTATTTCTGTCGAAAAATACATCAGTAATGTAATAAAAGTAAGTCAAATAATAAAATGAAAATAATGTAAAGAGAGTCAGATCTTAAGGTAATAAAATGAAATTAATACCATGTAAAAATAAACATATAATACACCGTATTAATTTTTGTTAATTCAGTATTAATTTAATTAAACAATAAATTACCTTATAAAATCGTATTGAAATACAATTGTCATATTTTTGTTGTTAGACAATGCGATGAGAGCAAGTTAAAGATGTTACAGCTATAAGTTTTGAAATCCGAATGACAGACATTTCAAGTACGAAACAATAAAGGAAATAAGAGAGAAAAAGGATCGGGAAAGGGTAAAAATGTAACAAAAATGGGGATAAAATTAACATAACACATATATTAATCACGTTAAAGATAAATATTTCACAATTCCTTACGTTAAATCGATTTCTGAAAGCTTCCTTCCCATTTCCAGTATGTTTCATTGCAAATTAGCCTATTCTATTCCCAACATCTTAAAAAGTTTCATAAAAAGAGGTAAAGATAAATTGGAACATATTTCTAATAACAACGTAATTTATAAGATTTCTTGCGATGATTGTGAAGCCAGCTATGTTGGTTAAACGAAAAGATTGAGTACCAGATTAAAAGAACATATATCTGATATTAGAAAAAGGACAGATTCTCCTTCTGTCATTACAGATCATTGCATTAATTTCGATCACAATTTTAAATGGAATGATGTCCAAATTTTAGACATTGAGTCTTCTTACAACAAAAGATTGATGTCTGAAATGATTCATATTAAAAGATAGAAACAGGGTCTTAATAAACAAAACGATACAGAATCTTTACCAGAAACTTATTCTCAGATTATTAATTCTCTCTCTCCCTCTTAACTTGCCTTACCTCTTACTTTTTATCCCCACTTTTGTTACATTTTTACCCTTTCCTGATCCTTTTTCTCTCTTATTTCCTTTATTGTTTCGTATTTGAAATGTCTGTCATTTGGATTTCAAAACTTATATCTGTAACATCTTTAACTTGCTCTCATCGCATTGTCTAACAACAAAAATATGACAATTGTATTTCGATACGATTTTATAAGTTAATTTATTGTTTAATTTAATTAATACTGAATTAACAAAAATTAATACGGTGTATTATATGTTTATTTTTACATGGTATTAATTTTATTTTATTACCTTAAGATCTGACTCTCTTTACATTATTTTCATTTTATTATTTGACTTTATAATTAATATTATGTTACATTTTGAATCTTTTTACATTATTTTATTATTTGACTTACCTTTATTACATTACTGATGTATTTTTCGACAGAAATAATTGCCACAAGATTTTACAAATTACATTTATAATCAGACGAATTACATATCGTTTTTTGGTTTTCCTGCTGAATTATCCGAAATGAATTTAACTTCGATTATGCGAGAGAGAATTCACATCCATTTTTTATATATTTGTTTACGTTTTTCTATATAATTTGTGTGTTTTTTATATTATTATAATGTCATCATTTCTTACATTGTTAACAGCATGCGACTTATTTAACATTGATAATTAATGACCTTTTAGGTCCTAAAAGATCATTAATTATCAGAGGTCAAAACGTTTGTTTTTAATTTTTATTAAATTTTATATTTTAATACAAATGACAGTCTTTATTTACCGTTAGTTAATATTTTAACGAATTTATGGCTCGTAGCCCTGTTTCTTAATTGTTTTAAATTTATTGAGCCTTATCACAAATTTATATTTCATCTAAAAGATATATTTAAAAATATAAATTTATCTTGTAAGAGAAAACAATTTTTTAAAGAAGAAATGGAAATAGTAGATGCAGTTTAAATAAATGTAGGTACAAAAGCTGTTACAAGATTTGATAAAAATACAGGTGCTAGCAAAGTTGATTTAATACCAAGAACATTTATGTATGTTTCAATTATAACTTCTTTGAAATTTCTCCTAGAAAACGAAACTTTCAAAAATTTTATAGTTAAACCACAATGTGGAAATAAGGATTATTTTGTAGATTACACTGATGGTTTACATCGCACATCACATGATTTATTTTCTAAAGATAATCAGTCTTTAAAAATAATAATTTATTATGATCATTTTCATGTTGAAAATGCTTTAGGAAGTAAAAAGAATGAAAGCACTTTTATTATACAATTTAAGTATTTCCTGTCGATTGAGCGTATGTAGAACTTGATCGGTTCAGCCGTTACTGAGATCTGATCATCTCGATCCCGAAAAATTCTCAGTTTCGCGTAAAGGAGGCACGACAGTGTCGCGCGCTTGGCTTAGCGCCGAGACACTACCATGTCTCCAGATAAACATAAACTTGGAGCAATTTATTATCAGATAAAAAATATACCTGCTGTTTTTAATTCTAAGCAACAACATAAGTAACAACATATTCATTTAATTAGTTTGTTTCATGCTAAACTTGTGAAGGAGTTTGGGTTTGGTGTACTACTGCAGCCACTAATCACAAATTAAAAACATTGGAATCTACTGGAATAAATATTAAACGAACAAATATAACCGTTAAAGGTACTATTATTGCCGTCAGTCACGACAATCTTGATGCGAACTCTTTGTATGGTTATACCGAAAGTTTTAATTCCACATATTACTGCAGATTTTGTTATTGTACCAAAGACGAATGTAAAATTGTTACCACAGAAAACGATAAGAGAGTTATGCTTAGAATTCGTACATAAGTAATATACAGGAACTGAAAAATGGAGCAACAATAAGCAAAGGGTTAAAGCGTGATTGTATTCTCAATGATCTGACATATTTTCATGTGACAGAGTGTCCTAGTGCAGATTGTATGCATGATATTTTAGAAGGCTCTTTGCAGCTTATTATTAAACTGCTTGTCAGTACCTAATTGTAAGACAGATTTTCTTGAGGCAGTTCGTTTTTTGTATTAGATAAATTAGATCAGAACATAACAAGCGCGCGCTTCGGGCGTCATTAAAATTTTCATATTATTATTAATTTTTATTTAATAAAAAAAATGAAATAGTAAATAGTAAATGTTTATTTACTATTAATTTTCATTTTTTTGATATCTTAAGATTTTAAATATAAGAATAGACTATAAATATCGATCTATGAATATTGGCTTTTTTGTCAATCATACA